AAAAATAAGTTGATACTAAGGGCTCAAGTAGAAAGAAAATGTTTTGAGAATGATGATGGCGACAAATGTACAAATAAATGTCCTTGACACAATGGATGGATGGATTGTGATAAGAGTTGTATTGGGTCCCCAATAAAATGATTAAAAAGAGAAAAAAACAAGGGAGGGGGAAGGGTTACAGTCTCTTTAAACCACATGGGCATTCTCCCTTGTCCTGCAGGGTCTTGGCCAGTCAGAACCCTCTCGGGCTGTGAGCTCATGACCTTGTTGGTGACCCCCTCCCCTGGGAACCATCCAAGAAGGTTCAGGGTGGAGGTGGATTGCCGACTTCGGTGGTCTCACAGAACATTTGCCCTTGGGCTTATTTCACGTCCCCCAGAGTCCTGACTGCCGCGAGATGCTCCGGGACCCGTCCTTCCTCAACACGGTGTGGAACAGCCCACTGGGGCGTGTCCCACCTCAGCTGGGCATGCGTGTATGTGTTTGTGTGCATGCACACTCACTCTTATTTCTCTCGGCTGGAAACCTGGGAGGGGCCTGTCCTACCGCCCGGGTCACAGCATACCTAACTTCCCTCCTCCTGGGTCCGGTGAGGACATCCACCCACGCTCACTGGGCCAGACCCCACCTGCCTCTGCACCTGCACCCCAGGTGCATTGGGAGCTCGGTGAGAAAGGCCTTTCTTCTTCACACCCTTTGTCTGGGAGGCTCTTTGGCAGGACGCGTCAGCGCAGATGCAGGGCTTCTCCTCCTCCTGTCCTTTGTGCCGACACCCGTCGCACGCAGCCAAGACAAACCACCTTCGGAGCACAGTGCATGCCCCTTTGTCTGAGCCGATCTGCTCTGCCAACGTCGTCCTGCGATCCTGCCTTCAGACAACACACCTGGCCACCCTCAACCTTTCCCACGGGCGCTTTCCAGCGGAAAACCACCCGCCTGAACCCCTGGAGGCGGGGCTGGAAGGAAGTTTTCTACACTGCATACTCGACAGCTGATTCCACTGGAAGCGCCCTGCTGCATGGTTCTGCTTTGTTTGGACTGCTTGAATCCCATCTCACAACATGTGTCCTAAGATACTCGATGACTTGTTTGCTGGCACAAACAGTGAAGCACTACCTAGACCACTAACCAATAGAAAATAAAACTCCTCACAACTGGACCAGTGGTAACATCGTGATAACGGGAGAGGAGTGGAAGGTGTCAAGGATCTCAACTTGCTTGGATCTACAATCAGCACTCATGGAAGCAGTGCTCAAGAGATCCAATGATGGTAAATCTGTGGCTGCACAGATCTCTGCAGAATGTTGCAAAGCAAGGAGGTGACTTTGAGGACTGAGATGCACCTGACCCAAGCCATGGTATGTTCAACTGCCGGACGCTGAATACGGAAGACCTAAGAAAGATCGGTGCACTTGAACCATGGTGCCAGAGAAGCAGCAGGCTGAAAGCATCCTGGACCACCCAGAGAACCCACAGATCTTTCTGGGAAGAAGGACGGCCGGAGCGCTCCTTAGAGGCAAGGATGGCGAGGCGTCCTCTCACGTACTTTGGACGGGTTTTCAGGAGAGACTGGTCCCTGGAGAAGGCACTTCATGCTTTATAAATTGGAGGGTCAGCGAAGTTGAGGAAGGCCCCGGACAAGATGGACGGACACAGTGGCTGCAGCAACGGGCTCAGACCTCAGGGCAAACGTGAGGCCGGCACCCGACCAGGAGGTGTGACGGACGTTCTGTGGTGCGTGGAGTCTGATGAGGCAGGACAGCTCCGTGGCACCGAGCAACAGTAGCCTCAACAACTAACCTAAGGCTGGCGGTTCAAAGCCCCCTTGCACAGCCCGGAGGATAGCCAGGTGGTCTGCTCTGAGAGAGCCCAGCCATGAAGACCCTTGGAGCGGGATCCACTGGGGGCACCCAGCATGACTGTCCCCTTTGCTGCTCATGGAGGACAGAAAGGCATGTGGGGAAGGGGCTGTGTGCACCCCACCTGTTTGTGAGCAGAGCCTCCGGCCCCCAGCTGTGAGGCCAGGAGCTGACAAGACAGTGGGGTCGGGTCTGTGCTCTTCAAACGGCTCCCAGAAATCCAGCGAGAGCCCCCACTGACCTCTGGCCAGTGTCTGCCCCTGCACGACGCCCGGCAACAATGGGTACCTCTACCCTGACCTTGTCGTCAACACCTCCCACAGAAAATCATCTGTCTCAGGATTAGGGCCAGAGCGCTCCTTACGAACTGTGGCCGTGTTGTCAGGACGGGCCGCCCTGGAGAAGGACGCCATGCCTGGTAAAGGAGGGACATCATGCCCCTGGGCGAGACGGACGGACACAGTGGCTGCAACACTGGGCTCAGACATAAGAGCAATTGTGAAGACGGCGGCGCAGGGCCCAGTGGGTGGGGTGTCGTTCTGCCGTGCTCAGCCGTGATGAGTCAGCACCAACCGGACTGCCTCTAACGACAGCGGCAGGTGTCCAGTGACGATGCCTTCTGCTTTTCTGAGAGAGCCACGTGGCCAGACCCAACTGTCAGACACGGGATGGTGGCTGCCAAGGTCGGGAGCAGGGGGAGCCCCGTGAATCCGAGGTGCGGCCGGTGCCCATGGTGCCATTTTGCTGGGATGAGTGGCCACCACCTCCCACATCCTTCTACAGTGTGGTCGGGACTGGGGGAGGACTCTCGTGTCTCACGGTCCAAATTTGGTGGAGGATGGATAAAGCGACTTCACCTGCAACAGGCCCTTGGTTACCAGCTTCCATCCTCGATCACAGCTTTTCCTCGCCGGACCCCGATTTAGACAGGCCTGGCTGGACACTGATGGCCTAGTGGTTATGGGTTGGGTTGCTAACCACAAGGTCAGCCGTTCCAAACCCCCAGCGGCGTCTCAGGAGAAAGATGAGGCTTTCTATCCCCGTAAAGACTTAGTTTCGGAAACCCACAGGGGCGGTTCTACCCTGTCCTACAGGGTGGCTATGTGTCAGAATTGACTGGGTGGCAGTGAGCTTGTTTGGGTTTTTTTGGGTTTTTTTGCCTTCTGATAGTGAATTTCTTCTTTAAAAACATGTTTTTAAACTATTAGTTGAGATTTAATACATACATCGTTCCAGATTTCAACCGTGTCCAGTTGAATGTACAGCTGGTAGTGACAGTGGCCCAGCTGAGAGTCTGGGTCCTGCGAATGTCTTTTTTGAGGCCTTACTCTGAGCTGTCAGGGCTTAGTTGGCCCCTCTTAGGGCAGGGTCTTCCTGGCACCCAGGATCCCGGGTGGTCAGCAAAGCCCCCTTGCCCTGTGTGACCTCACCCAGCTCACAGGCACAGGGGCCATTCTGAGACTCGTGGGGCTTGTCTTTGGAATGAGCAACGATGGAAGGCTGGAGGGGACCCTGCCCGGTCTTCCTCTCGAAGAAGCCTGGCTTCAGTCGATGACAGGGGAGGGAGGCAAGAAAGCTCAGGCGCTTGGCTGGGGGTTCACTGGAAGGACCCTGTCTCTCTGGGACTTTGTGGTTCTCCCAGACATGGCTGGTAGGACTGGCTCGGCTGCTGCCGCCGCCCCCAGGGACGGCTGGGACTGTCGTCACCCCTCCTCGCCCGCTGTGTCTTGAGGACAGAGTGGGAGTTCATGAAGTCCGCAGTCTGAGTTCAAGAGGTCAGCAGAAGCGTCATGCAGTGCGTCAACCCAGGACAAAGATGGAAGCGGATCAGGAAAGGCCAGGAGAAGCCAGAAAGCTGGGTGCTGGGCCCAGGGTGGGGAGGGGCCTGGTGAGATGCTCTCCCCCCACCTCCCCAAATCAGTCCCAGTGATGAGTATCCCATCAGCCTGGATCAGAAGCCCTGGGGATTCGAATCTTACTAACGTCTGCAGATGCCCAGTCAGGTGGGACTTGGGCCTCTGACACAAACTTGGCTGCCAAAGTCTTTCCTGACCTCAAACGTGCTTTCTTACGATGTCGTCTTATGAAAGGCAGCGAAACGAAAAGGGAGAGGAATAA